GGGGTGTGTGTGTGGTGTGTGTGGGGGTGTGTGTGTGTTGTGTGTGTGTGTGGGGTGTGTGTGTGTGTGGGGTGGTTGTGTGTGGGGGGTGTGTGTGTGGTGGGTGTGTGTGTGTGGGTGTGTGTGGTGTGTGTGGTGTGTGTGTGTTGTGTGTGTGTGTGGTGGTGTGTGTGTGTGTGGGGTGTGTGTGGTGTTGTGTTGGGGTGTGTGTGGTGGGGTTGTGTGTGGGGGTGTGTGTGTGTGTGGGGTGTGTGTGTGTGTTGGGGGTGTGTGTGTGGTGGGGTGGGTGTGTGTGTGGTGGGTGTGGGGGTGTGTGTGTGGTGGGTTGTGTTGGGGTGTGTGTGGTAGGTTGTGTGTATGTGTGTGTGTGTGGGTGGGGGTGTGTGTGGGTGGGGGTGTGGGTGGGGTTGTGTGTTGGGGTGTGTGTGGTGGGTGGGGGTGTGTGGGTGGGGGGTGTGTGTGGGGGTGTGTGTGGGTGGGGTGTGTGTGGTAGGTTGTGTTGGGGTGTGTGTGGTAGGTGTGTGTTGGGGTGTGTGTGTAGGTGTGGGGTGTGTGTGTGGGTGAGGGGGTGTGTGAGGGGTGTGTGGGTTGTGTGTGTGGGTGGGGGTGTGTGTGTGTTTGGGGTGTGTGTGGGTGGGGGGTGTGTGTGTGGGTGGGGGTGTGTGTGTGGGGTGTGTTGTGGGTGGGGGTGTGTGTGTGGTGGGGTTGTGGGGTTGGGGTGTGTGGGTAGGTTGTGTTGGGTGTGTGTGGTAGGATTGTGTTGGGGTGTGTGTGGTAGGTTGTGAGGGGTGTGTGTGGGGATTGTGTTGGGGTGGGGTATGTGGTGGGTGTGGGGGTGTGTGTGGTAGGTTGTGTGGGGGGGTGTGTGTGTGGTGGGGTTAGGTGTGTGTGTGGGTGTGGTGGTGCCGTTGGGTGTGGTGTATGTGTGGGTGGGGGGTTGTGTGTGGGTGGGGGTGTGTGTGTGTGTTGGGGTGTGTGTGGTGGGGTTAGTTGGGGTGTGTGGGTGGGGGGTGTGTGTGTGGGGGTGTGTGTGTGGTAGGTTGTGTTGGGGTGTGTGTGGTAGGTTGTGTTGGGGTGTGTGTGGTAGGTTGTATTGGGGTGTGTGTGGTAGGTTGTGTTGGGGTGTGTGTGGTAGGTTGTGTTGGGGTGTGTGTGGTAGGTTGTATTGGGGTGTGTGTGGTAGGTTGTGTTGAGTGTATGTTCAGTTGTATTATGTAGAAGAGGGGTCACCAAACTACGGCCCGCGGGCCGGATCCGGCTCGCGACGTCAGTTCATCAGGCCCGCCGACGGTATTTGAATTTGCTTGATAAAACGTATGGAACACGAGACGTTGTGATACAATTTAAATTTAAATAATATGTTTAGAATACTAGGAGATCTTCACGCGTGCGGAGACCTCCTGACTGCTATGTGCCTTAAATTTACTATTTTCAATTTTAAATTATTGTACCTAGATTTTCTTGTTTATTGTAATGTTTGCTTATTTCGCGCCATCCCAAGTCCTTCCCCGGCTCGTGGTAGCTCCGCCTACGCTCTGACGTTACCATGGTTTCCATGGCAACACACACAAACACGCATCTTTCCCGCCCCCAGATGAGTCCGGCTGTCAACACAGGTCCGACGCTCCAGAAATATTTACTTCTTTTTGCCTGTCATCCATTTTATAGGTATGTAACAAGGATTTCTTTGTTTGACAGTGATAGGTAAGTGAACTACAAGTGTGATTAGAGGTCATAAAGTAACAAACATAGAATAACAATGCCATAGAAGCCTCGTGTTATTACGAAAATATTATCCCCAGCTCCTCACACCTGCTCATCAGCTGACTAGCGCAGGACATTTAAATTTTATTTACAAGCCACAACACCTATATTTTTGTCTGCTAATGCAATTTACAAGTGTGTTTCCCCAAATAAGTGTGTACATTGCAGTAGGTAAGTGAACTACAAGTGTGAATAGAGGCAATAAAGTAGCAAACATAGCATAACAATGCCATAGAAGCCTCGTGTTATTACGAAAATATTATCCCCAGCTCAGAAAAATTCCCCGGTCAAGGTGTTAATCGAGCTGGTCTCTAGGTTGTTTATTTAGGCCCGCCCTATTTATATATTTTGTAAACCTTATTATGTGATATATTCTATTACCAAAGGTACCTATAAACTTTATATGTACCTTTGGTGAGCCGTAGCTTCACCAGTGACCCCTGAATCCTCTGCTTTTCTTGTGTTTCAATAGGATTTTAATTATGTTTCTAATTCAATGTCTTTTTCATTTTCAGATCCCGTTTTCTTCACCCTTCATTATGTCTACTAAGAAAAGAAAAGTGGACGAGTAAAGTACTTCTTTGTGGAAACAAAGGACCAGAAAGCTAGTTGCGTAATATGCAGCGAAAGTGTTGCCGTTTTGAAAGAGTACAATCTTCGGCGTCACTATGAAACAAAACATCTATCAACATATTCAAAGTTTTCTGGAAAGTTACGCTCTGAGAAATACGAGTCCATGAAACGTGGTTTAGAAACTCAAAGAAATCTCTTCACGAGAAAGTTTGCTGAAAATGAATCTATCACTCGTACAAGTTACAAAATAGTGCATAAGATGGCAGAACGAGGAAAACCGTTTACTGATGGCAACTTCATCAAAGGGTGTATGATGGAAGCAGCAAATGACTTGTGTCCTGAGAAAGCCGATTTGTTTGGAAGTATCAGCCTTTCGGCAAGTTCAGTTGTGCGGAGAACCGAAGAACTTGGAGAGAACATAGTGCTACAGATACGCGAGAAAGCTAAGAACTTGTTGTGGTATTCTCTGGCGCTGGATGAGTCTACTGATCTCTCGAGTACGTCACAACTTCTCGTGTTCATTCGTGGTGTCAATTTGGACTTTCAGATAACGGAAGAGTTGGCATCCGTTTGCAGCATGCATGGAACAACAACTGGAAAAGACATTTTCATGGAAGTGCAAAAAACTTTGCAAGACTATAACCTTCAGTGGAATCAGCTTCGAGGTGTTACAGTTGATGGAGGAAAAAACATGGCTGGAGTGAGGAAGGGTCTGGTGGGGCAGATCAGGACTCAGTTGGAAGATTTGCAAATTCCGGGCGCTCTGTTCATACATCAGCAAGCACTCTGTGGGAAAGACTTAGATATTTCTTGTGTACTGAAACCAGCCGTTTCTGCTGTGAACTTCATTCGGGGACATGCACTCAATCACCGTCAGTTCCAAGCTTTTCTTGAAGAAATTGATTCTGATTTCTGTGACTTGCCTTATCACACAGCAGTGAGGTGGCTCAGCTGCGGTAAAGTCCTGTTTCGTTTTTACAAGCTCCGAAACGAAATAGATGTTTTTCTCACTGAAAAAGATAGAGCTGATCCACAGCTGTCAAAGTTGTCATTTTTGGTTGACATCACATCCCACATGAATGAACTGAACTTGAAACTTCAGGGAAAGGATAACCTCGTCTGTGATCTCTACAGAATCATCAAAGGATTTCGGAGAAAGCTGTCATTGTTTGAAGCACAACTGGAAGGAGAAAACTTCTCTCATTTTCACTGTTTCAAAGAGTTTTGCGCTACAATCGCTTAAGATGTCAACCTCGATTTTCCGAAAAAGATTATTCGTGACTTGAAGAAGCATTTTTGAAGAGATTTTCAAATCTTGACAGAATTGAGAGTGACATTCTTCAGTTCCAGAATCCGTTTGATTGTAACCTTGATGATGTGCCAGTTGAACTACAGTTGGAGCTCATTGATTTGCAAGCAAGCAAATGACTTGTTGAAAGAGAAGCACAGAGAAGGAAAACTTGTTGAATTTTACCGCTGCTTACCTGATGTTGAGTTTCCGAAACTGAAGAAATTTGCCGCTGGTATGGCATCAGTGTTTGGAACAACTTATGTCTGTGAGCAAACATTTTCAAAAATGAAGTATGTGAAGTCAACACATCGAATGAGATTGACTGATGAACATTTGAAAGCAATTCTCTTGATTGGATGCAGCAATTCCAAACCAAACATTGATGATATCTTGAAAGCCAAACGTCAGTTTCACAAATCTCACTAACCTTTTTTGCTGCTTAGTTTGTGAGATTCGGATATGTGCACACTAGGTCTGATGTAACTATCTTTTCCTAACGTCTCCTTTGATAACTTTTTAGTAAATAAATATGTTGGTTGTCTTTGTTTTTTGTGCATTGCACGCCACTCACCCATGATTAACATGGAATGCTAAACTTAGTTTTTCGTCTTTTTTCCCAGAGCTTTCGTTCTGGCTTGCAAGTATTGAACAGAATGATTATGCGGCCCGCGCTCGTCATTCTTTCAGTTATCCGGCCCACTGTGAAAAAAGTTTGGTGACCCCTGATGTAGAAGATAGCAAAAATCAGACCCCGCCCCCCCATGGCCCTGAGAACACCTGGGACTGACACGGTGATCAAAATAGCATAGAAATTACCCACCTCCAAGACTCCTTACCCGGACACCAGGTAAGGTAAGGTAAGGTAAGGTAAGGTAAGGTTAGGTTAGGTTAGATGAGTAAAATTGAGCAAAGCAAAGATAAAAGAACAAATGAGTAAAGTGGAAGTTAAAAGCTAAATAAATCGTAATAAATAATAAACTCTGTCTAAAATAAATATGAATGTCTCAAAAAGAAAACCCGGCGGCTGGATCATAAATGGAACACCAGGCAGCCGTAACTTACCACATCAACCACAAATATTACCCCAACATAAAACTATTTCTGCTTTACCTTCACCTTTTACAGAACACAAACTCCAAAAATACTAATACTGACTGTAGAAATTACCCCCCCCCCCCAAAAAAAAATACACCTTGTTTTTGTGGTATGATTCATGTATTAAATTTGTAAATATGTATGATACTCTTAAAACTCATGATGTAAGAGTGAAGGAAATATTCTCCATGTAATATAGTCAGGTCATACCGAGGTGGGGTGGGGGGGGATATAAGTGGATATGATCATAATCCACCTGGGGAAACTACTACTACACGTGATCCACTTAACAAAATATCCACACTCCAGCTAGCTTATTCAATGACGGTACACAATACGGTTCTAGGACATGGCGTTACCGGGTCAGATAAACCTAACCTAACCTAACCTAACCTAACCTAACCTTACCACCACATTACACAGCAGAAATACCAAAGCATACAGCACCTCCATGAACCCGAGGTGGTGAAGGTGGCGGCGCGAGATGAACCCAGCCCTCACACCTCGGCCCGTTATTATGACGCACAAACGCCTCCTCTGTGTGTTTCCGGGGAAATTAATGGGGCAAGAATAGAGCCGGGCATACACTGTGTAGCTCTTGGTTACGACGTTCAGTTATTACACGAAGGAAGGTAATGATACTGTGGTGGGGGGGGGGCGCTGTCTCTCCCTCAAC